AGCTCCCCGCGTCAGGACGTCCCGGTCGTGGGCCCTCACCAGTGAGTCGACCTGCAAGCGAAATTGTCGCGTGATGTTAACAAGGTATTTTCATTGCAGCCGCGCTCTGGCCTCATCATGCAGCCAGGCAATCAAAGCACTGAGCCACTGACCGACGACCCCACAAATGTCGGGCCGAACGCTGAGGGTGCTTCGACGCGCAACGAGCGTGATCACCCTGCCACGACTCCGGCTACTCATGCAGCGTCCGGAAACGATGGTGCGCCACCTGTCGCGGAACCATCGAACACGGATGCTGTTGGAGAGCCGGACACGGACATTGTGATGGCGGGTGCGGAGCAGGATATCATACCGGACTCGCAGGAGGTCCCGGTGCACCCGGAGCAGGAGCCGGCACAGGTGAAGTCCACAGGCAATGGCTCATCCGCGTCTGTGGAGACAGACACTGTCCGCCAGGACGTCGAGATGAAGGATGCACAGGAAGATAGCCAGCATTCGCAGGTCCCCGCCGCAGCGCCCACGCCCTCGGAGCACGCCCAGGTGAACTCCAGGGGACAGAGTCCGTCCGAACGTCACAACGAGCAACAGGCTGGGCCGGTCCTTGAGCCGACGCCCGGAGGGAGAGACGTCAATAGACGGTCTCCCTCTCCTCCCGGCCATGCTGATGTGCCAACGTCAGAGCCTCCTCAACTGTTCGAGGGCTCCGTCACGCCTGCACAGCAACTCGACCCTGCGGTACGTATGCCACACATCCACCCACTCACCAACAAATACTCACCACCAATGCAGGGCAAATCATCTGAGAGCGCTGGGGAATTGTCAACAGGCTTACCTGCGACGGTCGAGTCCGGGATGAACCCATCCACGCATATCGGTGAGGCAGCGTCAGCGCAGCTTGTGACGGAGCAGTCAAATAAACCGCTCGCAGCCACGCCGAATGGTTCGGAAGACCCCCCACTGAACGTTGCGCAGATGGGATTGCAGCAGGCTGTAGCGGGTGGTGATGGTCGCCAAACGGGTCACTCGGGTGCGCTGGACCCAGGCATGGATACCGCCGGACAGCCAACAGAGAGCCGTAATGTCCGCTTCGCGTAGTGTTGTACACAATTGCATGTATAGTAACAGCCAACACGATAACAATGTCACCGTGCTCAGTTTTCAATGGCCTGAGATAGACAGGAATACAGCGCTTAACGTTCTATTAGGCACCGGGTGTCAGGTACTTCCTTGGTGCCCACTGTGTTGACTTGTGTTTCGCGCCGAGGGTTGCTATGTGCCTCGCACCGAATCTTGATTTTTCTTCTGTGCTGACGGTTGGTATGTGCTCGCCGCCGAAGACAATCCACCCCTCGCCGCCGAGGGTTGGCCACTCTGCGGCGCCGAGGATTACAGAGTGTGCGGCGCCGAGGGTTGGTCAGTGTGCGGCGCCGAGGGTTGGCCACTTTGCGGCGCCGCGCGTTGGTCAGTGTGCGGCGCCGAGCGTTGGCCACTTTGCGGCGCCGCGCGTTCGTCAGTGTGCGGCGCCGAGGGTTACACAGTCTGCGGCGCCGAGGGTTACACAGTCTGCGGCGCCGAGAGTTGGAATGTGCTCGGCGCCGAGATTTACGTAGTCTGCGGCGCCGACGGTTGACCTATCTTCGGCGCCGACTGTCAATATGTGCCCGGGACCCAGAGCTCCCATCCTGTCAGTGCCTAGTGTCTAGTGATCTTCAGGGCAGCGTACGTGCCTGGATTGTGCGCTGAGAGTTGCCACATATGGTGGGAGGGGCGCATTGGTTCATGGTCACCACGTGGACCCCACACGTGCAATCATGTGACTGAGGCTGATGGACAAGATGGGCTGGTACAGTTTAGATGCGTTCAGGATCCACTTTCTGGTAAATAGCCACAGTGAGCTGGCTCTTAGTTATTTCCAGTGAAACCCGAGAGCATACCGATTATGAGCACCCCCTCCTCTGCTGTCTTTGTCGAAGCCTACAATCATATATTCCGACCCGAGGTTGACGCGGCGATCCATGAACTAGGTGTTGAACAGTCAAGGGAGGCTGGCGGCGAGAAGCTTGTCACAGCGATGGTGCGCGATACGGTTGTTCATTCAGGTTCACAGTTCACCTACGTCAATCCAGGCGATGTATGCAATGATGTTGGGATTTAGCCAGCTGTGCGATCCTGCTGTTATAATGGAACACGGGATGACAAACACCATGCCTCAATTCTGGGGTATTCTACTGGACAACAGCAACGATCCCCGCAATGCGGTACTGCGGCTGTCAATGCGGGTTCATAGCCTCTCCCTCCGAGATTCAAATGCCGCGGACCTCACACAGCTTCTTGATCGCAATGGGCATTCAGCTCAGGATGTCAATCGTGGCCCATCGACGTCTGGTATGTGGCTCGTGGTTCCGGGCCTCTTACTGACTCAATGGTACTGGGATTAGTGCAATCCACAGCTGTGAGACAGAGTCAATCGGTGTTGTCCCACAGTGAAGACAGCATTCGACTCATGGCCGCCCGGAATGTTGCTGTGAATCAAGCAATTGCCGAGAAGATCAAGGAAGGCGAATTGCAGCTGCGGCGTGTGAAGGAGGAGTTACAAATGCCGCATGCCCGGGTACGTACAATTAGTGGTATCTATCAACCATTTCTCTTATTCGATGATTGTGTCAGGAAAATCCTCACGCAGCCGCAACTCTCAAACTGGGACTATTACCGCAAATCCCCGAACCACGATTCATTCATCCCTCCGCCATGCCGCCCCATCTCAACCACGCAATGCTCCTACTTCTAAACCGATTGTTGCTCTCATTCGAGGCCATGGACGAGTATCTAGATGCGGAGCTCACATTCTGGAAGGGTGCACTGGAGGTGAATGCAACGGAGGTCGACGCGTGGTATCGGTCAGCTGCCCAACATCCGGTAGTAACAAATACAGTACACTTCCGCGACATATGGGGCGCCGAGGAGGACAGACGGCGACACGAGGGACCATCTTCGTCAAATGCTCCACCGAACCTCCAAAACAGCTGATATCTGTACGCAATATTGGTACACAACGTGTCCAACTTCTGTAGTGCAAGGAATTGCTTCACCTAATGTAACACTCTGAGCCGAACAGTGGACATGCGTGAGATATTCCTTCAGCGCTCAAGACCGCATGTTCAAACCTTCTCAAAAGTACGTATATTTTGACGGGTGAGAGGCGCGATTGTGCGGGAGATTCCTGTTCACCCCCCCTCAACTGCTACACTCCCGGGTGAAAAAGAACTGGAGGAGACCATGTTTTTTGTAAGTTGCAATGTGTAGATCACATTGATTTCCTTCTGATTAGCGGTGACGTGATGCAGCGTGGGAAACGCCGTACACTATCACAACTTAGTGGACTCATCGGGATCCTTCGAGGGGAATCGTCGTGGGTACAATTTGCTTTAAATGCAACCCACATGTGCTGACCAATCGCCGTCATTCATACAGCACCATCGTGGTCTCAATTCATAATGCCGATTCGTACTCTCTGGGCTTCCATGTCGCCGACCAGCTGGTCCTGACAATCACGGAAGTCGTACGGGAGGAAACAACTATGTTATCAATGGCTGACCGCTTTGAGAACCTCATGGCGAGGTTTGACGCAGTTGAAGCGAGTATGGAAGGGCGTTTGGCGAATACGGTATAGTGGGGTTTGAGGGACTAGACATTTGTTATGTAACTACGGCGTCCGTTTGAAAATTGCCATTGTATTGCCATACATGGTGTCAACGGTATATTCCCCAACACCGACAATACGGCCTACATGCCGAGCAGAAGCCATCAGATTAGACACACAAACGACACCTTTCACGTACGCCAATTGCCTCATGTCTGTATAAATTGATCCAAGCTGATTACCGGGTGTGCACCCGCCGCATAATGTCACCGGAGGATCGCCGCGCCTGGCAGTACAATCGCGCGAGGTCTCCCAAGCCTTGGCACCAACTGGTCCTCAACCTGGCCCCTCCCACCCATGCCTTTCCACTCCTTCAGCTCACGCCGGACCCGGCCAATACCACTGAAGTTGTTGTCGGAGGGCGTCCTGCGAAGAGCCTGGGTAATGGGCCAATCTGGACTGTGATGGAACGCCCTGCGGTCCACATTGGAAGTGGACACCTTATCACGTTGAAAGCGGATGGCAGTCAGTCCGGGGTTGGCCGACTCACGGTCATGACAGACCTTCGTCGTCACTGGATCACATGGAAAATAGAAGGCGGACCTACCACTTGTAACCTGCGGGTCCCAATCCCATGGGCCAGATTGTCCAGCTCCGAAAGTGATAGACACACCCAGGAATACCGCTTGCTCAAGAGCCTTCCCCCGCCTCACTACTCCTTTATCATCGACCCGGATATCCTCTACCCGAATGAGAGTCCGTACGAGTTTGAGGGTGGCGATGATGTCTTGTTGCCCCCGGAATCGAACAAGGAGAGTGAGGCTTGCGACACCAAGGATTCAAGTGAACAGGGAGGTTTTTAAAGGTCTGTCCTCGCTACAGCTATTGATTCATCCGTTTTTACAACTTTGGGTCAAGGCTTGTTCGTGGTGTGATCACCGCACGGCACAACCATGGTGCTGGGTGCGTAGGATGGTGTACTCCGCGCCGCGGATCGCATCACAACATTTTTCCCCGGCGACGTAGCCCGACTCTGCACCGGAGGTAGTCGGATAACTTGATAAGGCTCATTGTCCCGGATGTATGACGTGCCTGTCTTCATGTAACTAAACATCGCCACCGCGTATCATATGTATGCACAGTGCCAGGACTCTTCCTAAAGCCACCAACGTCCGGATGTCAAGCGCTTTGGAAGACGCACATGCAAAGTTCGAAGGTGTACTTATTTCTCTGATATATACACGCGGCGTTGAGCGCACGTGAAACCTCGGCGCCGGGGATTCGAATGAGTGCGGCGCCGAGGGTTGGGTTGGGTGCGGCGCCGGGGATTCGAATGAGTGCGGCGCCGCGGGTTGAGTTGAGTGCGGCGCCGGGGATTCGAATGAGTGCGGCGCCGCAGGCTGAGTTGGGTGCGGCGCCGGGGATTCGAATGAGTGCGGCGCCGCGGGTTGAGTTGAGTGCGGCGCCGGGGATTCGAATGAGTGCGGCGCCGGGGATTCGAATGAGTGCGGCGCCGGGGATTCGAATGAGTGCGGCGCCGCAGGCTGAGTTGGGTGCGGCGCCGGGGATTCGAATGAGTGCGGCGCCGCGGGTTGAGTTGAGTGCGGCGCCGGGGATTCGAATGAGTGCGGCGCCGGGGATTCGAATGAGTGCGGCGCCGCAGGCTGAGTTGGGTGCGGCGCCGGGGATTCGAATGAGTGCGGCGCCGAGGGTTGGGTTGGGTGCGGCGCCGGGGATTCGAATGAGTGCGGCGCCGAGGGTTGGGTTGGGTGCGGCGCCGGGGATTCGAATGAGTGCGGCGCCGAGGGTTGGGTTGGGTGCGGCGCCGGGGGTTGCAATGTTCTCGGCGCCGAACTTTCATGTGTGGTCATCGTTTCCTTCAAGCCAGACTTTTTGTGGAAACGTGTCACAACTACATGCCCTCTGGCTGAGAGTAAATTCCCTTCAAGCTGGTCTACGCCTCAAACAAACAGGTATAGGGGCATACAAATTGACTCGTCACAGCCTCCTACGCAGTAATCACTCCAGGGGGTTCTGCTCAACATAGAGCTCTGTATAGGACGACTGTGCGTCTGCAGCAAGTGACGCATAAGTGTTGGCAGTTTGACGACAGTGCTCAGCGTATCCAGGCCATGCTTCGCCTGGACCAGTGGTAGCCATGGCAAGCCAACGATCCTGCTCGTAATCGAAGTACAATTTTGTTGATTGCAACTCGCGCTTGAGAATCGCCGACTCTTCCATTGCCCGGTCAAGCCGTGACCGAGCTCGGAACCAATGAACCCGGTGGACTATTGGAGGGATTGAGGACACAATGTTGCACAAGCGATGGGCAGACGCACCGAAGAGCATGTGCTCATCGTCATCCATGTCTTGTTGAACATTGACTGTCCAGATCCACGGCAGGGTGGCATGCCGTTGGCCGCGTGCATTTGGTTCGGCAATTGCGGTGCTGACCTTGAGATCGGCGGGTCTGAGACGTTTGTATATCCTGCGTGCTTCCCTGCTCATATTGAGCCGCACCAATGCTGACCTTGCACTGCGATACACCGCGCCATACCGTTGAATCTCCCTTGTGATTTTCTCAAGTCCGGCATAGGCCCGTGTCTTTCGCTGCTGTGATCCACGAGATGGACGGATACGGTGGCGGAAATGAAAGGACTTTTCGCTGAGCAATACCCGCAGTCGGTGCAGAGCATCATTCGCTTGGCCCCGGCGTAGAGTTCGCTCGCGACGGGCCAACCGCCTCAGGCTTCGGTCATTTGTCATCATCTCTGGAGATGCATTCGAGGGCAGATTTAGGACCACGTGCTCGGACGCATCAGGTGCAAATGGTCCTCGTAGCCTCCGACCAGCAAGGGGATTCAGTCGGTCGCCTATTGGTGTTGCACGCGAAGACCCATCATCAGCATCTGTTGAACTAGGAAGGCGCCTACCGGGCTGCCGGGTTCAATCACAGGCCGGACCGGTTCTATGGGAAGCTCCGGGTCCGTGATGTCATCTATGATGTCATCTGTGTGTTATCACATGGCTACGCCACTTACCTTGTATGTCGTGGGAACGTACTATACAGTAGCTTAGATAAGCGGTCTCCTCATGTATATAAGGACCCCAGTAGCGTAGCTCAATCCTCAGTACCTTCAGTTGAAGTACTTGCATGTGCATCAAGCATCAGCAACCTTTCAGGTAAGTTGTGAGGGCGCACCACTGCGTGGAGCTGCCTGCTCAACAGCATCTACGTCCTCCATTCGTCTTCCGGTGTCTCATGCCGAATAACGTCCCAGTTGAATGCGCGCGCAATGCGGTTGGCTCGGGAATTGAAACGGGCGATGCTCTTTTCCAGGGCCTTACGATGTTTTGCTAGTTTAATCCTGGTAGCGCTCGTCGCATTTGTTCCATGCCGCATGGTATCCTGCCACAAGAAAATCCTGTATAAAACAGTCAGTCCCTTCTGGCATGGCCATCACGCCGTTGTACGTACTGCGCTTCCTCAATTTTAAGGCCGTCCGCGAGCCAATCTGCGGTTCCAATTGGAGTGCCATCATTTCCTTCCGCAGTGGTCAGCCTTAGCTGCAGACTGGCCTTCGACGGAGCTGCGCATAAATAAGCTTACAGGCTCTGGACTACAAAATAACCTGCTAACCTGTCTGCTCGGGAATCATGAAAATGTCCATGGCCCGGACATCTTGCAATCTCTGCTCCTGGGCCCCGCGAAGCACCCGGCGCCATTGTACAAGTACATCAGTGCTTATTCCTGATTCCTGGGCATCCAAAGCTTCTCGCATCTTCAGCAACAGCGGTCGATTTGCCTGTATGCGCCTCCGTAGTAGGGCCACTACAACAGACAGTCAAAAGTGTAACACATCTGTACAGCGTGGGATGCTCACCCATAGTTATCATCTTCTTGTAGTTCCAGTCATTCATGTGCCGGTCTAGTGTCTCCTGGCGATTGGATGACGACATTGATCGAGTAGTTCCTGAAATACGATTCAGGGACGCCCACATCGTCTCCAGAATCTCGCCGTCAACATTTCCAGCACCAGCCATGAATGTGGGCGAATACCGGACCTCGCAGGTGTCCTGGTGACCATGAACATGGAACAGGCCTATTCCTTTCCACAGCGTCAGGTCGTGTGGCATTGAGATATGCGGGCTGTCAGTGAATCGCTTCCGAATGTGAACGCCGTATTGACACATAATGTCATACAGCACAACCACCGGCTGTTTCTCGTGTGCCCTGTACTTCATCGCATTGGACAATGAGTAGTCCATGTTCATTTGCCGTTCGCCTTTCTGGAAATTCACAACCGAATGGGGTACGAAACACCCGTGGCGCGAGCAGGCAGTTGCACCAATACCGGTGACCGCCAGCTTGTGTCGATCGGCGTTTGCTTGTGAGACTGCCTTGTGGTCATTACATGTGGACCGCTGTTGACAGCAGATTTATCGCTTTTGGTCCAAGCTGCGATGTGTCATGGATTGCCTGCTCACCATTTTGATATCCTTTGCCACCTTGAGATGCTCTTGGTACGGCCCGTCGTTTACCAGAAACATCTTGCCCGGCATCATTGGTACGTCATTTGCAGGTCGTCGCATTTTCATTTGCTCCGCTGAGAAGTTACCATCCATGACATAGCTCCGAGCGTATAAGTATCTGATCGCCGTCAGTGCATGCGCTATCAGTATGCCAATGCCAAACACACGTCTTTGGATCTTCTTGCCACTGCCCATCGATATTTATCCCGGGCTGTGGACATGCAACACAGAAGTAGCCGAGGTCACCGTCACCGGGTGTGCCGCGACCTTCCGGGCCAAATCCAAATGTCTTTTTTGCTTGGAGGAGCGCCCATTCACGCGTGACACGCATGAACTCGAGATATCGGTCCTTAAACGGTTCGCGTGAATACAAAGGGGTCTTTCAACAACGCACTCGGCGAGTACGCACCGGCACTAGATGTGGAAACGCCGGATTCGTTAATCGACGCAGCCGTCGATAATAGTTCATTGCGTTTGTATTGCACTCGACATTGGTCATCAAGTAGTCGTCCAGTACGCGGAACGTGAAACACGACTTCGGTGCACGCTGACTTGCAGGGAAGAGACCCGCTGCTAGTAGCTGCGCTTTCCACCCCTGCCGAGAAGGGCACCCGCACCACCTGACAGGTAGGAAGTGAACGCCGGACGTGTCTACAATTGTCATCATGGCATGAGGAGGCTTTGGCGGACTGTCAGCAGCACGAAGGGGATCGTCGCCGGCCCCGCCATTTCGCTCCTCATCCTCCCAGGTGTCCTCTGTGTCATCTACCTCCTCATCATCATCGTCATCGTCAAGAATGTCGTGGATATCCGCCGGCGGCCGCCCAGATGGTACCGGACACCACCCACCATGATGTCCCAGCTCGACGCAAACGCCAACGTCTCGCAGCCAAGAACTCGTCCAGCAGCCCTTCGTGTCCCACACCTCAATACGATGGAAAGGGTCTCGGCTGTGTCTGTCGAGGCAGCACGATGTGCAGTACACCGGTGACCCAAGACAACCAGTGCACTTCCAACGCCCTCCGCTGCCGTGGCACTCCATGCATTGGTATGAGCCGTCGGCGGTCGTGGTTGGCGGCACCGAGGAGGCGTAAATGCTTCTCAGGTACTCGGTCTGATATGGTAGCCATTCACGAAGCATTTCGGGTTGTGTCTATGTGGATGTCAACCGTCATATCCCAAGGATCGTCACGAAACACACCTTCGGCGCCGGTATCTGAAGTGATTCAAGGGCATCAACTGACAGTAGGTCAATCACGGGTGGTGCATCCTCCGAACGGTTCGGGGGATGGGTCGTTTTGGAGGACGGCTGCGGCGCGCGTCTGGGCGTGCTAGGAGGTGTATCAGACCTCTCCCGATGCACAGACACCAGTCGGCCCCTTGTCCCTCTCGTCGTGACCGATCGTTTGATGATAACCTCGGCCACTTTTGGAGAGCTTGTGTGCAGTTTAATGCGCGCCATGTTTGCTTTGTGTCGAGTGTGCTTTCGAAGCGGGAGGTAACTGTGCTGCACCGTCGTCGACGAGCTGTACACACTACAACTGCCCGGGCAACTCCATCCGACTGCACCGGTATCACCACGAGCCGGAGGCCACTTTGTGTCGGAGTTCCCTGATCCATCTCATGCGGTTTCATACCGTGCTTGGCACCGGGCTCCATAATGAAGGGGGCCGTAGGCAAGCACACCTTGTTGAGGTTTCAGGCCAATCATGACATGAGGCTAGATTGCCGGGGTACGCAGCCGAATTATCCGTCGTACCCGTACCATTCCAGACAAGCCACCCGTCGCCTGATCAAACCGGAAGAATTCTGTGAAGGATAAAAGTGACTGCGCTGATGGTAAAGAAGGTGTGATGTAGTGAAATGTGAATAGATGCCAATGCGACAGCTGGCCAGCAATCTAGCTTGGTTGGCACGTCCTTGCCTTCAGCTCCCACATTGTTGTTGTATCTCTGGGCGGCCGGCACGCTCTTATTGGTCACCATCGACCATGGCACGTCCCAAGAAGGATCGCTGGAGGAAAGCGGACAGCCGGATTCTTAGGTCCCACTTGGAGGCCTTGGATGACCAGGAGACAAGGGATGAAGAGGTGGCAGCTGCGGTGAGAGAGCTGGAACGGGAAAAAGGGATAGTCTTTGACGAAGCATGGAAAGAGGTGCGAGTGATGTTCCTCGATTACATTTTTGCTGATAATGCAGGGCCAGCGAGTCCGGAAGTGGTTTTACGAGCGACGTCCGGATGGCGAGAAACGCAAGAAGCCAATGTTTAAGGTTGGTAAGAGGGTGACGTGGCAGATGGTGCTGGCTCGGGAGGAGAAGGAGGCTCTGGAGGCACGGATTTCTGAGATTGGGGATGGAATGGAACGTGAACGTAAGCAGTATCCTGCCATTTACCAGAAAGCACTTTCGGCGCTGTCCCGAGATGTTTTGGAGGAGGACCGTGCTCGGTACGAGCAAATTGCGGAGAAGTGGAACAAGAAGGGCAGTCCCCGGGACGTACAGCTGAAGAACATTGCCAACAAACTCGACGGGTGGATGGAAGACTTTGAGAGGCAGATATGGAAGCTCACCGGGGTGAGACTATTCGTATTCGCCGCGTTCATGGGATCTGAAAAGCCGACCGTGACATGGTGCGTCGGGCTGAAATTGGAGCATCACCGTGTACTAACAAATTACAGCTTTGATCACAACGACAAGTTTGGTGCGGAGGCTCGAACAGGCGAACCGTGCATGCGCTTTGTGGACCGTCATCCAAAGTTCAAGGAAGGTCACACCTACGACTTCTTTGTGGAGTATGCCGAGTATGCGTTTGGTGAATACGTTCCGGCTGTATTGATGTGTTCCGATGCTAAATGCTTATGGATCAGACACTAAACCGCTCGAAGCAGACGAGGCAGCCTCAGAGGAAGAGGCGGTGCCGGGCGAGCCGGAACTGGCCTTTGATGACGAGAATTATCCGCTGCTGCCAGATCCCGGGGACCCGTGCTTTGCAAAATTGGGTCAACGGCGACGGTTTATCAAGCAGTTTGTGCGGGTTACCTATGGTAGGCCCACCGTTATCCCAGGACATTATAAATCACTCACAAACGGCGTTTCAGAACGATATGTTGGCCGCTCGGCCAGGGTTCCGTGGCTTGCGCTCGCTACCAACTCCAACGACTACATCGACCCAGTATATCTCCCCGAAGACATCATCCTTCGTGATCCCGAGAAGCTACGGCAGGACGAGATTGGGGCCCTCATCCGTCATTGGCGCACGCGGCAGCAGGACGAATTTCCGGTGTTTCGCTTTAGGGCGTACCGAAACGGCGAGGGCATCGCTCAGGAACGCATCATCCTCCCTCCTCCGCCGCCAAGTCCGCCACGGCCTCAGCGGCGCCGGGAACGAGCACAGCCCAGCCCACCTGTCGCCGGCCCTTCCCGAGTCCCGAGACAGCAGCGCCAGTCCAAAACGGGTCCATCCGGGCGGCGGTTGGAATCGTCAACCTCTGGGAGTGAATCTTCCGAGCCCCGGCACGCTGTCCAAATGACTCGACTCCGAGAACAGGACCGGTCCAGCAGTTCGAGTAGCAGTGAATCACGCACCAGCAATGGGTCCGAATCGAGCAGTGATACCAGCAAGTTAAATGATGACGACGCCGACGACGATGACAATGGAGACACGACTGGGCCTGAGGACGGGGATGATCATGATGAAGATGAGGATCGTCCGTCGTCCCGTTCTCTGATTCCTGCCCGAGAAAAGGGTAAGGGTAAGGCCGAGGACGACGATGATGAGGAGGAGAATGATTCATCGCCCCGCCGTCGGATTCCTGCTAAGAAGAAGGGCAAGCACAAGGACGAGGAAGAGGATGATGGGGAGCAGGATCCTCCGGCTTCCAGTCGGCGCATCAACGCGCGGAAGAAGGGGAAGGGCAGGGCTGAGGAAGAGGAAGATGACGACGAGGATGCCCAGTCGTCCTCTGGTCGAACTTCGGCGAAGAAGCGCGGAAAAGGGAAGGCCGCCGACGCACCTCCTCCTCGTACCTACGCCACCAGGGAGAAGCCGGGTCCGGCTGGTATCGTGCGCCGCAAGGAGACTGGTAGCGCGATGACTGGCACCTCAGACGGTCAATCTAGGGCTGTAGGCCGGAGCAATCGTACGTATCTCGTCTCCAGTGTAGCTTTGCCTGGCCGTTCTGACTTCATAAAACAGGACAGGAACAGAGGTCTGTCGCGGGAACATCCAACCGCTCGAATCAACGCAGGCCCAGAACACCGGATAATTGGAGCCCGGCAGAGGTGGGAGCGACTTTCGAGGCGCGACAGGCGTTTCTGCTCGAGCTAAGCAGACATCCAACTTTCAAACAGATGGTTGCTGCAATCCCGAACTTGGTACGTCCTGATCCATCTCTCGTTTCAACTCTAATTTGCTTTCAATGCCAGCCGGAAGTTGGATCCTGGAAGTCGGCGCCGAAGTTCGAATGGGCAACGTGGTCATACCCAGAGGCTTACTGCAACAGGGCCATTCATCAAGAGAAGGTGCTGCTGAAGGTCTTTCGGGGGTGGCTCACAAGACACCGGACAAATCTCGATACCAACACCATGGGCCGGGAAGACGCACAGGCCATGGCGTTGGCGATTGGCATGCTAGCTAGAGATGTTGAGGAGCACTACGACGCGAGGGTACAGCTCAGATACGAAGCAGACCACGTGAAGACCACGAAGCTGCCGGAAACCTTTGTCGAGACGGACCTCATCCCACGGTGTGCCGACATACTCCAGCGGTGGCAGGACGTGGCCGCTATGAATGAAAACGGAAAACGAACGCGGACCGAGACAGCAATGGAGAATGCACCAGCGACCGGCTCGCAGCGCCGGAAATTGAACACCGAGAATACGGGCGCCGAGACCAGGGAGGTTAAGAAGCCGGTAAAGAGGGTGCCGAAGGGATCTCATCGTGGCAAGAAGAGGGGCTAGATGTTGATACATGTACTATTGACACCGCACGAATTGAAGTTCGCACTTCCCGCGCAATTAATGATTTCCACACATTTTGTGCCTAAACTTTGGAGGCTGGCCGGCTGCACAGGGCTTACCATCAGTGCATGATCAGGGCATCAGGGAGGCGATGACCCTGCGAGCGTCATACGAAGACAGCCATGATAAATTGTCAACAAAGACAAGCCAGTGCCCACACTGTCTGTACATTCGCACCTCGGCGCCGCACCCAACCCAACCCTCGGCGCCGCACTCATTCGAATCCCCGGCGCCGCACCCAACCCAACCCTCGGCGCCGCACTCATTCAAATCCCCGGCGCCGCACCCAACCCAACCCTCGGCGCCGCACCCAACTCAGCCTGCGGCGCCGCACTCATTCGAACCCCCGGCGCCGCACCCAACCCAACCCTCGGCGCCGCACTCATTCGAATCCCCGGCGCCGCACCCAACTCAGCCTGCGGCGCCGCACTCATTCGAATCCCCGGCGCCGCACCCAACCCAACCCTCGGCGCCGCACTCATTCGAACCCTCGGCGCCGCACTCAACTCAACCCGCGGCGCCGCACTCATTCGAACCCCCGGCGCCGCACTCATTCGAATCCCCGGCGCCGCACCCAACTCAGCCTGCGGCGCCGCACTCATTCGAATCCCCGGCGCCGCACTCAACTCAACCCGCGGCGCCGCACTCATTCGAATCCCCGGCGCCGCACTCAACTCAACCCTCGGCGCCGAGCATGCAGCAACCCTCGGCGCCGGACACTCACCAACCTTCGGCGCCGAGACGTAATAATTAGTCGGCCCTGCTTCAACATCTATACTTTGTTATCATGCCCAATGAGTTGACTGCCATAGCGTATATAGATGGCGGAATGTATTACAAAGAAATGTCATAGCTGACGCCACGTAAGCGGCGGTGCTTCGGCCCAAGTCAAAACATCCCGGCGAGCATAATACACCACGCAGACCCGTTCACTCCTGCTAAGGGGAACTTGATGGGGAAGTACGGCTCCGGAAAATGCCATTACTGTGCCGCCACTGTAACGGAACGAGGTCCCGATTGTTGGAACGTGCAGTAGAAGGTCTGTATCGCCCCGGAGGGTCAACAGGACATCGTAACCCTCCTTCGGGGAGAGGGAATCTCTGTGGAATGGAGTAGCCCGATTGGTGATAACCGATAGAGCATTGAATGGGATGTTCCAGTTGCGGAGGACAGGCGCACAGTCGCCGATCGCATGGAGCTTGTACGTTGATAAGAAGCCGCTTTGATAGAGGACGGGATTCATGATCTGTGTCATAGCGGAGATGACCAGGTGCGGTTCACGCAGCGAGCGGAGCCACTGGTGCCCTGTCGACTGAGCTGATTTGAGCGTCATCGACACCTCCGGCATCCTGCCCCCACCCTGCAGTATGTTCAGCACATCGTGGGGATCATACAATGCAGCATGCATACCGTCTGTCCCCGCTGAAACCATCCCGGCGACATGGAGATACACCCCGGATGCAGACTGTGATCAGGCTGTTGTGGTAGAAAGTTCCGGGCCTGGTTTCTCCACGACGTTCCCGGCCTAGGATTTGGGGGATTGGCCCGGAACAGATTATTTATGCCCGCCGTCTCGTTCCACATGAGGTCCTGGGTGAGACCATCAGTCTTGAGTCATTCAATGACCACAACATATTACCTCGTATTCGGTGCTCAGCACATTGGGCAGGTACCAGAGAATTATACGGCCGGCACTGTCCACTACAATCGCCGGCGCGATTTGAATTCTCATGGGAGTGCTGCAGTCTTCCACACGAACCGGCGGGCACGTCGCGTCCCAGGGAGCCACGACTTGTCAACAATGAGCAAACATGATTAACAAAAGTGAATTGGTGATTGGCCCACTCTGGTTACACCGGGCCTCTGCCAATCTTTTTCCAGCAACTCTCGCTTGATGTGACAGTGCCCGCGGGATGCGGGGATTGATAAGCGGCGGCATTGAGTTCATATCCTGCCTAGCATTGACGTGGTAGTGATAGGTGCGGCTGACATAGTCGTTGACCTCATCAAAATTGGACATGATGGTTGCTGTGAAAGGTGTCGCCGTGTACAGTCATTCTCAGTTCTGGGAGCCTCATGTAGAACTGTACAGTTCCACTAACACGATCAAACATGAACATGTGGACACCATGAGGATACCTGCAGGCAGCCATGTGTTCTCTAGCTGATGGTTATGGTTAGGGCCTAATTTTATGGCTTCAATGGGAGCAGCACATTAGCATATGCATTACATGACATTACTGCCATGATAGTGCAGTACCACTTGCACAGGGTGAAGCAGCTCTATTTTCCTTCATTTGAACGAATCAAAGACAACTGCCAAATAGGCTTCATCAGTGGGCTAGGCGTTGGCCGTGCCATCAAGAACAACAAGAAGTAAGCACCAGCCGGTCCTATTCCTATGAGATCTAACGTCGCCGGCCGGTTCCATTTCAGTCATGTGTAGTGGGACCGGCCGCAGCGTTGTGGATAAGTGGGGCTACGGCCCGGCCGGTCGTGCCAGAGCCTTGAAAAACACATTTGATTGTATCGTTTCCAAAGCTGGAATATACATTCGGCCGGATGGATTTAGTGGGGTACAACGGGTACCGGCTGAGCTGTATTGAAAGACCGGGTTTCGATCGGCCGGTTGGGAAGCTACAGGCTGAGGCACATGGCGGCCGGTTCTTTAAACTATATGGAATGTGATACCGACCGCTCCGCTGCAATTGTCTTATACAGAGTTGAATGTATCACTATCAATGTCGTCAGAGAAACCGGCCGGTGAATGTTTGATAAACAAATTCAACTCCGGCCGCTGTGTTAGCCGTGGCGAGCGTTAACAGCGGCCGACACGGGCACTGCAATGCTTTCTTTTGCAGGCCAATCTGCAAAAGATGTTGACATGTACAATTGGTCGAAGGTGTGACAAAACGATGCACAGCCGCCGGCCGCCTAGGCCACAACGCTGCGCCTCAAGGGCGGCCGCTGTGTGAATAGCGTGCTGCAAACGAAGCGTCCGGTTGATGTCATAAAGTACGCAGTGGAATAATACACCGGCGGTATCAATGTTGACGGGCGGTACGTATTCGGCCGTAATGCTAGTGAAATACAGTACGCTCTCCGGCCGCGCCGGGTTGTACACTACAATGTTTTATATTTGCGCCTGCTAGTATATGCTGGGTTTCCACAATTCACATCCGGCCGGCTCGCTTTACAACATATGATCCGACAATCGGCCGCCGCAATAGGAACCACAGGCCAGCATGCCCGCCCGCCCGGCTTCCGGCGCTCACTTCCGTTCCACCGGCCGACGTCGGGTTTCCGTTGACGACGGGGAATATGCAGCCCGGGTGTACCGTTAGGAACGTAAAAGTACACTCATTGGGCTCCTGTTGCTACAGATTCTCGTGCTGCAAGACACCAGAGAATTGCATATAGAAATAGATTCAGACTACTCGAACAGACATGATATACTACAAGCAGCCTCAGACTCCCCGCCACGCACCAGACCAGGTCCCTCATTTGCAATTCCTCCTCTCGCATCCTCAGAATCTGCTCCAAGCACTCTAAGATCTCCTGCTTAATTCTGCCCACAACAATCTGCGCGTCGAACATCGCGTGTGCAGCGATGTTCTACCAGAGCACCGGGACGGCGAGGTCGGTGCACACGGCCGAGTCGACAATGGGTGGAAGGGCAGGGCGCAGTATGTCCCTGCAGCGTAGACCTACGTGAGAGCTGTCAGCACCCCGTTTTCGGGGAGTTGTGTGGGAGCAGCCTGAGAACGACATACTGTCCACGTATTCCTCACCCTTACGCAGAACCGTGAGTTTTAAAGGTGTACTGCACATCGCCTTCAGAGCATTCCACAACACCCTTCACAAGGCGGCGCAGCCCGAGCATGCGCACACCCGTGTCGAAGACCAATGGGTAGGACAGCTACAAAAGGGCGGAGACCACGGATACGATGACGACGACGACCGCAGCGTTGAGCACGATGTCAAGATCGGAGAGCGTCCGACATAGCGCGACGAGGTGATATATGCTGGCGCATCAAACGGATTGTGAGTGGCGAAGGAGTGAGGGAAGGACGAGCGCCGAACCTGAATGTCGGTGCACTAGCACGCGCGGTACAGCCCGCGCGGGCGTTGACCGCTCCCCCTTGACCATCTCCTGTGCATCGGCCTCCATGTTGGGGGAAAGCATGCAAGCATCAGTACAGTGGGCGACGGCGTGCGCGCATGCATACGGGTGGATGAAAAGGGGAGTACTGACATTGTTGGCATGTGTGCGAACGCCGAGCGCGAGCGACTCTGCCACGCAGACAGGCCATGTCCCGTCTAAACCACGCTCGCGCACCTGCGTCTGTGACGGCAGGACTTTGAGCGATGGCGGGACGATCACACTATTTGTTCCCCAGTGTTTACGCAAATACGTACGAAGAACGTGGCACTCACCGGACAGAAAGTCTTGCGGAAACACCATCTGCTGAGCTGCGCGCGGGCGATGCTTGGGCCTGCATCGTCTACCGTATGCTTTGCCAGTCGGCGGCGAGAGAGCAGTAGAAGTGGTCGAGTCAGAGGCGCCTGTACATCTGTGTCCGAATCCGGAGCGCGCGCTCCCCCTGGCCCCTGCCGCCACCCAATGTCCACCTCTCACACTCCCACAGCTTCCTCCCACCTCGTCTGGCAATACCGCCTCGGACTATGCACGAATGGGTCACAGTCGCTCTCTCGCCGACAAGACGTGCTGGATGGCTGGCGACGACCGTCTGAGAGGACAAGGCCGACTGAGGCTGGGTCTGTGCCTGCGTCTGGCTCCAAGTCCCCGCTCATCCGCTGTTCCCTGGGCTGAGTACGCGACATCGTCAAGTTGTGTCTAGCGTTGGCATCTGTACATCCTTGCTCATCGCTAGCCGCTGCCTCTCAGTACCAGGTCACGACCATCTCCGAACAGCGACAAGCGGCAGATAAACTGGGTTCATCTCGCCATCGGCCTCATTCCTTCAATCGTGACTGGAACGTTGCGCTTTGTGAGTACACATGTTCTGCGCCGCTCTGCACTTGCTGACACGTATTCACTCTGATTCATCCAAGGCCACGAGGGCTCGGGGTGCACCTTCGAGGTCGCGAACACCATCCTCTCCTACTTCCTGCTCAACTCCTGGCCCGGCCCCGACAGACCACTGCGCGCGGATATGCATATGCCTACTACATTCACGGCCGCCCCCGCCTCTCGCACATGCTCCACCTCTGAACTTTTCCGGCATCTCATATCTGTCCCGATACCCTCTATATGAACTGGGAACTCTCACTCGTCGGACTTCCCGGCTTCTGGTACTCGGTGTACTGCCGCCAAGACCTATCCACACCAACCTCGAGCCGAGATTTCTAGCACCTGACGTGTTCTCCGTGTTCATCATCCGAGTGCAGAAGTGATATATCGTGTCACATCCGAGTAGCTGATACTTGAGAGAGGCCTTCAGGTGCGTCCCTTCGCGCTGCGGTACCGAAGAGAGGCGTGACAAGTGCTGCAGCTTAATCCCACACTCTCGCACGACTCCTTCTCAGCGATGGCCCCGAACTTCCTATCCAAATTTGTCAACAGGTCCCCGTCCAACTCCATCAGCACTCGCAGCCCTGCAGATTCGCGGTCTTCCTCACCTGCTTCTGCTCATAAGGTGCCGCCGTCGATCACCATCGACTCCGCCATCTCCAACCGCCTCGATTCCACGAACGCACGCCTGCGGCGACATACCACCATAGGGAGCTCTTCCCCCTCGTTGACCGGGAGTACCGAGTCCTTCCCGATGGTCACAGCCGTCCCGCCTTCGCCTCGGAGTGTGAAATACGGCTCTGACCTAAACGACGGTGACTCTACCCGATCGCCGCGCACGTTGTCAGACGGCCAAGATGGAGTGTCTAACGGGAACGGATCCGCAAAACGCGTGCCTCTCTCCACGAGCACCAACGGCTCTGTCACCGCGGTCGACGACAGTGGCCTGGCGACGCCCACGCCCGCGACGACGCGCACCACCTTCTCCGACGCTCAGATGTCTGAGCGCTCGCTGGCGCACTCCAGGTCCGCTGGCAACCTGCGCAAGTCGCCCTCGCGCAAGAGCCCGACGGGTCAGAACTCACGGGCACAGACACTCATAGAGGAACACTCGCCGGAGAAAGAGAAGGGGCGGGACCGCAGCCGCAGCCGCAGCCCCCGTCTCTCGTTGTCGAAGAAGGCAAGCAAGGCGAAGCTGCTCAACCCGGAGTCGCCGCGCTCTCGTAAGAACTCGACGAAGGGTGGTAAGCATGATCGGGCAGCGTCGGTGCCCTCGCTCCCGGTCACGAATATCCATACCCCTCCGCCGCTCCCACCCAGCGTCACAGTTACAGACGACGGCACGCTCACAACTTCGCCCGTCTCCTCAGAGTTCCCGAGCGGCCCACCAAACACGTCGGTTTCTGGGAGGTACAACGCAGTCCCGCCCCTCCCACCAATTTCAGTAAACCTCCTCGTGCCGGGCAACTCGGATGCAGCCAGTATGTACAGCGTGGACAGCGCCACGCGTGGGAAGAAGGTATGGTCGAGGAAGGCCAGGAGCGGGAGCGGCAACTCGCAGACGACCCCCACGTCCAGTGCCCTCTCGCTGAGTCCCAAGAGGAAGGGCACCGCGAAGGGCATCGCAGGTGCAATTGCCGCATACGGCTTGGCGATGGGCATGGGTATGACGCCCGTGCCTCCTATGGACCTCTCGCAGCTCCCGCCGACGCCAGGAACGACCTCCGCCCTCTCGTCGCGTGGCCACCGCCCACGACGCAGCTCTGATATGTCGCGTGGGGGCCGCGGTCGATGGAGGCGAGTCTCAACTATCCCGCGAGCGAGTTCAGTGACTCGGACAGGGATAGCTATCAATCCGATGAGGATGATATCTACTAGGCGGTCGAAGTGGGCTGGAGGATATGGACGACGATCTGGACCTGGACGCGGATGGTGTACCGGTGACTGGCTTCGCAGTAGCCAGCAACAAGCACTACCAAGACTTCCATGAGCTCTTCCCGTCTGCCCCGGAGGGCGACTATCTCATAGAAGGTAAGTCTGGACCCAATTGTATTGTGATCGCCGTTTGCTGAGTCCATCAACAGACTACGGGTGTGCACTGCAATGCGAAATCTTGATACAAGGCCATCTGTACGTGTCCGAGAACCAGATCTGCTTCCACGCGAACACCTTCGGCTGGATCACCGACGTGAGTGTCTCTATCCTTCTCCTTCCCTACTACCTGCGCTGACATCTCTTCCCCGCCGATAGCTATGCATCCCGATGTACGACGTGACTGCGTTCGAGAAGCGCATGGCCGCGTTTGTCATCCCGAACGCGATCCTCGTCACGACGACGCAGCAAAAGTACACCTCTATGTCCTTCCTCTCGCGCGACACAACCCACGACGTGATCCACAATGTCTGGCGTCTCCCGCGCCCCGGCGAGTCTTCCGCGCGGCCGTCTCCTCGCAGGTCGCTCGACATCACCGACAGCAAGAGCGAGGTTGGTATGGGCTCCCCGCAGCCGGGCGCGAGTTCGATGGCCGGTTTGAAGCCCAAGGTGACGACGATCTGCGAATGCAGGCGGAAGGGCGAGCACTACTCGGAGCTTGCGATGAAGAGCATCCTCCCCGGCACGCCGGAGAAGATTTACAACCTGATGATCACGGGTTCATCAAGGACTTCATGATCCATGACCGGAAGCTGCTTGGTAGGCTCCATTCGTCTTTTCTGCATACTCTGTTGATGTTGATGAGTCTCCTTCCTCCAGACCTCCAGACATCTCATTGGATACCCGTGACAGAGGGCTCGCAGCTGCTCTGCTGCCAGATGTCCTACACGAAGCCCCTTAACGGTAGCATCGGGCCCAAGTCCACCAAGTGCGAGCTTCGCGACGAGATCGTCAATCACGACTTCCGAGTCGACGACTACGTTACGATGCTAACGACGACGCGGACGCCTGACATGCCCAGCGGTGGTGTGTTCTCCGTGAACACGAAGACGTGCCTCACGTGGGCGAGTGCTGTGTCGACGAAGATCGTGGCCACCGCTCAGGTAGAGTGGACTCGATGTAGTTTCATCAAAAGTATGTCCGGTACGTGTTTGCGAGGTGGCACCAGCTACGGAGTCACCCCGGCCCAGCCTCGAGGATCCCTCGCTCAGCGACTTGGAGCGACACAAGTCGCGTGAGTGCGAGCAGAACCGGCGCGGGCTGCAGTGAGCGTACGACACGATCGAGTGCACATTCAAGTTCGGGAAGCAGAGCGCGGAGGGCGCGATTGAGCTCATCAAGGACGCGTGGGACCAGTCGTCGACGACGACGATCGTGTACTTCATGATCATGTTCCTGCCCCGCGTTGCAACGTGACATGAAGGCAGCCGGCTGGCATCAGCACGCCTCATACCACAGCAATTGTCGAGAATGCCTACCTGCCTCGGAGGCCCGTCATCGCAGCCTCCACTTGGGTCGAGAGCGCGTGGCCGTCACCGGCTCGCGTGCTCGCATGACGAGCATATCTACAGGAACAAGACACGGTTAGTACTTGGCCCTTTGACGGTCCAGGTAGATGAACTCACCACTGCTGGTTGTGTCCCAGAGGCCCTGGCTTTATACGTCGCTCGCGAGATCAATGCGCAAGTCGCCGTCGCGCTTATCACTCTCGCACCGACTGTGATGCTCGCATGTCGTCATAACACCTAGTCTAGTAGTACGTTACGAGGAATATGGTATGGACGGGCACCTCGTTCCTGCAAGTCTGTGATGACCATCCGATTCCGCTGTTTGACCATTTCATCTAGGAAGAAGTCGTAGCGATCCTCTCGCATCTCGCGCACGATCGCTTGAAACCCACCAAACCAAGCATTCGTCATCTCTGCAGCAGACGCCACTTTCCATCACGCATGAGATCGGAAAAGCGAGCAGGATTGTATGGCGGCCCGTTTGTGGAAATAATCGGATCGCACGAAATGTAATAGTACCTACGAAAAGTATAATAAATGCACGAAATGTGTATTCACGAAATATTTGGAACCACTCACGAAAAGTTTGGATGATCACGAAACTCGGAAGGGTACACGAAATGCATGCTGACGAAAGTCAGCCTGCACGAAATGCGCGCACAGCGTGACGCGAGTGTGATCGAGTGACCGTTTGTCACCGAGTGTGACACGTGAGTGCGTGGCCTTAGCCCACCTCCGGCACTCAGCTTCGAGTTGTAGTGGCCAAAATTTTCTGAATACATTCAGTACACATAAAAAACGCGTTTTGCGCGCGGAAACATCTTGGGGAAGTCGCTCTTCCGCCACGAGTTGAATAAAGACATCGCACTCGCGCGCCACCGCGCCACCGCGCCGGCGCTTGTGGCTGTGACTACGCGCGTACCACTGCGCGCGGCGGTCACACTGATTGCTGTAGTCCAAGTCAGATCCCCTAGGCATCTAGATTCTAGCTTTGTCTTACGTTCTTGGCCACTTGGCCCTCGCGCATCCATGTATTGAGTGACTAATGAAAGAAATATAGCCGGTGCATGTCATGAAGTTGCGAATCTCAAACATGATCTTTGTGTCTTCTACCTGCTATGTTCGGTCAACAGACTCTCCGTGTATCGCGCTTCTAAAGCATGTGGACCGCTCATAACCTTAGCCTTGCTCTCATTGGCCATCTTCTGGAAACACAGTCCAATTGGTATGTAATATGCATGTACACAAAACCTGTATGTATATAGTATACTATATTATATTGTATATATGCTGTATATACACAGTTTATATAGTATGATCTCCAGCTACAATAGTCATTTCATTTCCCTACTTAATCCTCAAACCATTACAAAAACCAGAGTACATGCTAGTGTTCAAGATGATGGAGAATGTTTGTACAGCCTTAATATGGGTATCTATACTGTACTATATACTGTCTAGTATAATCCTAATACTAGTGAATGATGATTTACTTGCCAGTTTCGGCTAGAGTGACATGAGATGTCACAAAGGTTTATATGTGGCTTCACTTCTCTTGTGAATGTTCAATCACATAGTAGCATCACTTAGTAACATGATGCTCCAGTAGCTGTCTAGATTCAATCACACCAATAACACTCAGGCCTAATCCTTGCCTATGAGTAAGCTTAGACATGTCAGTCTCATACTTTTGTACATCTGCTGTTCTGCATGCTTACACCCACACCAGTTTGATTCCAAGATACTCAACCTACCAGCTGATGCATTGCCATGAGAATCACTCATGTATCATGCATATTTCATGACTTTTTTTTTCCAGAAAGACGAATGTCATCAAATCTAGTACCTCTGTAGTCAATTAAGAAAGTTTATGTTATATGAACAACTCTATGCCATGTACTCCATGACATATTGAGGATCCCCTTTGCACAAAGTCCAGATATTTATGACCCAAATCTCACTGTCTGATCCATAGAATCAGTGTCTAACTCTGAAAAAGCATCTATGACATCAAGAACCTAAGTCTAATGACTGTTAAAAAGCAACATCGGACACTGTCCTGTTGACCTTAGGCAAATTTGAATTGTAGGTCAATTGTGATAGCATTCGCAATGGTCATAGGTGTTTTTATGAGCATAGAAAACAGCCTAATAAATTAACAGAAGCCTACATGAGTCCTCAACTTATCAGACTGGAGGTCATTGTAGTTCACACAATAGGATTCCACTCCCTAGTATGCTGTAAGCACATGTTTGAAGACAAAAAGGAATACAATGCTATCCATGCTCTCCACAATGTCACCAAATCATTGCAATAATGAGTCCCTGTACTCAATAGTAGGCTAATTTCTACCAATATTGAAGCTCCTTCATTACTATACTTGAAACCATATATACTGTATATATATACAAGATACACAGACCCTGTATGTATATGTATAAAGTATAGGGTAGAAATCGTATATATACAGTATGTATATTATTTTGTTGGAGCCTTAGAGAGAAGATCTCACACACGGTATACTACACACCTAGTATGCCACACACCGAGTATGCTGAACCATACATCTCCGGTAGTACACAAGACATGGGGTGACTGCATGGCCAATTTCTTGCCAACCTGGTGACCTGAGTAGTAAGAGTGACACCATCTAGTGATGGTGCTGAGGATGCCATCCCACTTGTCAAGGACATGCAGGTCATGGTGCGCAAGACCCTCCTTGGCTAGTAAGGCCCAGGTCACCTAGTCATTCAAACACCTCATTAGGTGCTGAGCTGTTGTCATGTAGCAGTGAGATAGCAGCTTACCTGGAACACCTGATCATTAGATACAAACACAACGATGAAGTCTTCAAACTCCATCATCAAGCCGACATGAAATGAGCACATCCGAGTGTAAGTATTGGATGAGGTAGTATCCACATTCAATATAGCATCTACTGGTGCACCATTGTCTCGCCCTTCCCAATGTACGAGGTCTCCTTTAAGACCTCCCAGTACTGTTGGTGATAGGTCTGAATTGATGTATGAGTAAGATACTGCAACTACAAGAGATTGTCAGTGAGAGCGGTACATGATCATAATTAAAAATAACAACGACATACCTGGAACCAGCAGTGACCGAAGTTAAGCACTATGCTATGGCTTGTGTAGTGTACTTCTGCTAGAACAAGATCCTCGAGCTTGAAGCCTGCTGGCGGAGCATTAGCGGCGAGGAAGGGTGGCCAGAGCGGAGTCTGATGACTAGTATTGCCGCGTTTTGCTTTTGACGTCGCACTGAGCTTGCTGACGAGACCACGGGCCCATGGGGAGCCAGGATCCTTTGGCTCATCCTTGGTAGCATCGCAGTATAGCGCCATGAGCTGCCAGTTTTCCACCTTCTTCGCAGCATAGAAGGACTGCAGTTGAAGTCCGCTGCAGTAACATTCCTGTATTTTGGGCATTATTGAAAGGCTTGAAGCCCACACGGACATGTGTAAATAATTATTGAATACAACTACAAGCAAGTACTTACCTTGTACCAACGATAAAACACGTTCAAGACAAAGAGCAAGGACGCGACGACGCAAGCAGACCGACGCGACGACGCGTTCAACATCGAACACGGTCACATGAGGGCTCGGGCACGTCGCCGTAGCCACAAGCGCTGGCGCGGTGGCGCGGTGGCGCGCGAGTGCGATGTCTTTATTCAACTCGTGGCGGAAGAGCGACTTCCCCAAGATGTTTCCGTGCGCAAAACACGTTTTTTATGTGTACTGAATGTATTCAGAAAATTTTGGCCACTACAACTCGAAGCTGAGTGCCAGAGGTGGGCTAAGGCCACGCACTCACGTGTCACACTCGGTGACAAATGGTCACTCGATCACACTTGTGTCACACTGTGCGCGCATTTCGTGCAGGCTGACTTTCGTCAGCATGCATTTCGTGTACCCTTCCGAGTTTCGTGATCATCCAAACTTTTCGTGAGTGGTTCCAAATATTTTGTGAATACACATTTCGTGCGATCCGATTATTTCCACAAACGGGCCGCCATAGGATTGCAGAAAAAGCCACACAATGCATCCGAACCCTTGTGATTGGAGTTCATGTGGAAGACGTCCACGGGAAGGGCACAATTGTCAAAGTGGTGATCGCTGATGGTATCGATGTGCTTTTTAAGCTTGCAAGCATTGTCGAAGAAGATGAAATCAGGAAGAGATTGCTTCGAAGGGCAGACCTTGATGAACAAGGAGTGTTGTGGCTAGCCTGAGGCAAGGCTACAAAAGAATACTACAGAAGCACAAAGAGCACTGTAGTAAAGGAGGACTTACAACAGATCTCTTAAGAGCTGAGAGGGAAGACTCAGAGGCGTTAAGACGAGAGGAGAGACCGTTTTCATTCTAGGGCGTATCCAGCCCGGTATATATACACATGAGAGAGCCATCACATGATCGTACAGTAAGCGTAACAGCGTAGAGTCATAACGGAGCGATATGGTGCAATGAGCGAATACACAAGGATGAGGCGATATTGCACCATGAATGGAATGTCATGGAAAGGACTGGAACAGCGATGTGCTCAATGATGCAATACGATGCAATCAAGGAATGTGCTGGAACATGATGGAAAGCGGTGGAATGTTCCATCAGGGTCTAGATCTAATCATGTGCTACAGGTCTGGAACAAATCCAAAAAGAATGTACGTAATATGTAGCATAGTAGAACATAAGTCTATAACAGGTAAGGATAAGTCCTATCCCGTGTGATAACACCCAAAACAGTTGAAGTTCAACACTCCCACTTGTTCAAGATGCTACAAGCATGCCAGAAGACGACCTGAACTTCTCAATAGCTTTGAGAGGAATGTTCTTGGTCAAACAGTCTGCAAGCTGGTCTTCGCTCGCGACGAAATAGATTTCAGTTTCACCACGCTCGTAGAATTCGCGTATATAGTGATATCTGATCTCTATGTGCTTGGTTCGGCGGTCCACAACAGGATTTACCGAAAGGAAGATACTTCCTTGGTTGTCTAGACATAGAGGAGTAGGACTTGACATGTTGTCTCCAAGCTCCTCGCCGAAATGACAAAGCCAAGCCATCTGACGACAAGTGTCTGAGGCGGCCTTGTATTCTGCTTCAGTAGAAGACAGAGAAACAGTCGGCTGACGTCTTGACGCCCAGGAAATGACACAATTGGCCATCATGAAGATGAAGCCACTTGTCGAATGCCTATCGTCGCGGTCTTCGGCCCAATCTGAGTCTGAGTAGGCAATCAGACCAGAGTTACTGCCGCCATCATAACAGAGTGCAAAACGCTTCGTTCCTTGCAAGTAGCGCAGAACGTAGAAAGCCAAACGCATATGCTCCTTAGATGGGTTTGAAGAAAACTTGGCCAATCGCGTGACCGCAAAAGCGATATCTGGCCTAGTACCTAGCATGGCGTACATGATACTGCCAATAATGCTCTGGTACTTCGTCCTAAACTCTTCGGTAGCAGTCTCAGTACTGCTCAGCAAGTTTGCGCCTGCTGGCAATGGTGTACGAGCTTCTTTGCAGTTGCTCATGCCAAAACGTTCTAGGACAGTCTCCAAATAGTCTTCCTGGTCCACGAAGAGCTTGCACGTAGAACGCTCTCGACGTATTCTAAGACCTAGGAAACGTTGGACTGCTCCTAAATCCGTCATCTGGTATTCACGCGACAAGCGCTCTTTGACCGAGTCAATGAAGGGCTTAGAGTCGCCCAAGAGCAACAAGTCGTCGACATATAGAATGACGACACAAGTGTGATCTCCAGATTCACGGGTATAAACGTATACACCTGCATCCGAATAGGTGCGCGTAAAACCAAGCCCTAGGAGAGACGTATGGATCTTAGCATTCCATTGGCGTGAAGCCTGCTTAAGTCCGTAAATCGCCTTCAAGAGAAGACAAACGTGGTCCTCCTTGCCTGGTACAACCCAGCCTTCAGGTTGTTCCATGTAGATCTCCTCATCAAGATCACCGTTGAGAAACGCCGTCTTGACGTCCATCGACTCAATCTCCCAATCCTCAAGGGCTGCGTGTGCGAGTAAGTATCGCACCGACTCAAATCGTGCAACCGGGGAGAAGGTCTCGTGGTAATCCTGACCCCAAACTTGGGTGAAACCCTTGGCTACTACACGAGCCTTATAACGACCATCGTGCTTGATCGTATAAACCCAACGATTCTTAATGACCTTTCTGTTCTTAGGTCGCGGAACCAGAATCCATGTCTTGTTCTCGATCAGAGAGTCGTACTCAGACTTCTCCGCACCGTGCCATTTGTGTTTGTCAGGAGACTTCATGGCTTCAGAATGACTCTGAGGTACACCATGGTTCGCTTCCGCAACAGCGCGCGCCATCATCAAAACTTCTGCTTCATGACGCTGATTCCCTTGGGTATCTGTGCGTTGGTCAATCGAAGCTGGAGGTTCATCTCCATAAACGTTGTCTCTGTTCCTAGCTGGATTTCTCCCAGCACCATCTCTCTGAGGCCTTTGATACTGAGGCTGAGGAGGAGGAACAGGATCAGGACGCGGCTGCTCAGGCGGATTTACTCCCACTGGCTCAGGTTGATCTTCTGGTTCTTCAGGTTCGTCGTCTGCGGGTACAGGTACAGGTAGAGGTTTGTCTACATCCTCCGGTTCCAAATCCAAAGGATCAAACTGCGGCGGACCCAGGGACTTCGGGTCATGGCCTAAATCTTTCCGTGCCGGAAACGTCTCTTCATCGAAGGTCACATCACGAGACACAACGATCCCTCGAGTGGCTGGGTTCCAAAAACGATAGCCCTTTGAACCCTGCTCATAGCCAACAAAGATCATCTCGACTGCCTTCTTATCGAGCTTCCCAGATCTCTGTTCTTTCGGCACATGCACAAACACCTTGCACCCAAAAACTCTAAAGTAGGAAACATCCGGGATTGTGCCATCTCAGAGAGTAATGGGGCATTGCCACTTCAAGCGGCGCATAGGCTGGCGATTATAAATATGAACCGCGGTGTCAACTGCCAATTGCCAAAAACCATGACTTAGTCCAGCTTGGTGTAGCATAGACATAGCCTTCTCAACGATGGTGCGATTCCAACGTTCAGCTCTTCCATTTTGCTGAGGTGAGCCGGCAACCGTCTTCTGGTGTTCAATACCATATGACTTAAGATGGGCCGTGAAAGCGTCAGAAGTGTATTCCCCCCCACGATCCGAGCGTACTACTTTAATCTTTTCCTTGGTAACATTCTCAGCCCATGCCCTGAAATCCTCAAACGCTCGGAGCGATTCAGACTTCTGCTTAAGATAATAGGCACATCCAAGACTGCTATAGTTGTCCAAGAAAGATATGAAGTATTTGAAACCATTCGGCACAGAGGCCGTACGCATAGGACCATCTTCATCGGTGTGAACAAGTTCAAGAGGCCTGGAAGCTCTCTTGTCCGATGGAGGGAACGGGGCACGATGTGATTTACCCCACTGACAGCCTTCGCACGGAGACTTGTCCTCGTCTCCGATTGAATCAACACCTTTGGTATGGCTAGGCAGTTTCTCCAGAGCTTCCTTAGAAGGATGCCCTAAACGTCGATGCCAGAGTTTCCAATCTGACAATGAAACAGTCCTTGCGGACTTGCGGCTCAAAATCTCTAAGAACAGCAGATACAAATTGTTCACCGGCATATAGTCATCAGGAAAACCCTGATTTACTGAAACAGTCTTCAGCTAACATATTTGCACGCCGGCCAGCATTTGTGACCATTGGTGATCTTCTCACTACACCAGTGACTGGCTCTGACTATCAATGGCCAACTGAAGTAACGCAAAGTGCCAGTTGCATACACTAATGTAGACTCTATATCAGCTCGGTCAAGTCATTCAACAGCAAGGCAAAGACTCCTGCGGCGTCCAAGACTGCAGCTGGATCATCGAAGGATGCAGCGAACGCAGAGAGTGGACCGTCACGTCCGTCGCGATCGAAGTCCGGCGCGAAGAAGGCCCAGGAGAGTTCGGGGGAGCAAACTTCCAGCAGCGAGCGTGAGGTCGATGAACTCGGCAATGAGTGGTAAGTCAGTCAGTGTCCAGTGGTTTCTTTGTATCTCACTGCGAGAGGTACATCACCAAGATGTCGTAGTTGTCCTGTCGCATCAAGGCTGTGAACATCATCAACTTTGTCTGTTTCGCGTGGCAGGAGCAGTAGAATCGGCCCATTTCCAAGGCGAGTGTTTCTATGCCCATACCACCTCTATCTACACTTACTCATACGACAATCCTGCAGCTACTATATCTATCATCCTCTGTACTACTACACATCAGACGTGCGTGCCTGCTACGTATCCCACTCCCCCTCTACTACTATTTGCCTGTCTCAGCCGTGGTCGTCATCCCGGCGCCGTCTGACCTCGAGTCTATGCCTATCTGTTGATCGTGCTATACCAGTAGTTATGTGTCTGTATATGTTGTACAACAACCCGCACTGCTAATATTTATGATGTGATTTGGTACATGTGCATAAGTGGACATCAGCAGACTTAATTCTGTACATAACTGTACTTCAGCACGCCCACTGAAGTACATATTGTAGGTGAAATAAGGGCAACTAAAGACCAAAATGACAACACAATTAAGACTGAATAAGACACAAGATGTCTTTATTGCGTACATTAGTGCTCTTATGCATAATATCAAAGACACAATAAGACGGGGACTTGTCTTAAGTGCCATGTTTTGGTCTTATATAACATTTTATGTCTTTTGTGTCCTATACGTTCCTAAGATGTCTTGTAGATGACCTCTGATGAGACCTTATGTAGGCACGGTTTTTCCTGATGTAGTCTGCCTGCAAGATGGCGTTGCCGATGTTCTGCGTCTTTTGCCCATGTTCAAACTTGCGGTCATAGATGACCATCCGTCCTGATCCTTGAACCAAACAATAGTTCGTCCTCTCAATACATCCGGTTGAAAACAAACGACCGGACGCATATGGAATATAGGCGACATTCGTAATCGTCGTTGGAACTCACCTTCCGTTAACCAAACAAACTCCCTTAATGGTACCTTCTCCAAGTGCTTTGATGGTAGCAGCTCCGGCCGTCTTAAAAACGATAGGGACACGATACTCGTGGTAGTCCCAGAAATCAGACAGATCATTTGTGATCGTCATAGACGCACCAGAATCCATTATCCAGTCAGTCATCTTTCCCTCAGTCTC